GAGAGAGAGAGAGAAGTGAAGATAGTGGGAAACAGAAGAAGAGAGAGTACCGTCTAGAGAGTATAGTTGAAAGAGGGCATTGCGTCCGGCGTAGTGACCTACTATCTTCGGTTCGACGGCTCGGCTATGTAGTCAGTGCGGTTAGAGTGTGTAGAGTACACACAGAAAAGCACGCAGAAAAGCAGCATGACAGGGATATAACAGGTACGCAAGGCGCAAGGTAAATGTGGATGCGCCGCGTATTTCCTCCTACTTTATCTTCCGCCATCGATGGATCCGATGTCTTGCATTTGGCGTATTATTATATCGATGTATTCCGCTGTCACGCTGCTGTGCGAAAGGAAACACGTAAATTACGGTGTAAATTACATCCTCCCGCAGCGCTTCCGACGCGGCTCACCGCCTCTCGCGTTGCACGTTTTTTCTTCGATAAATCTCGAAGCCTATTGAAGCCAATTACAAATTGGACGGCCTCGTATGCGCTAGTTAGTTACTCGCGACGTGATTCTCATTTGGTTCTTACCGTGTTTTCTCCCATCAGTTATTATGTTAAACGTCTCAACCCAACGTCTCTCCCTCTTTACGGTGTCTCGTTGTCGAGAACGACTGCATAAATAATATACAGGCAAACGAAAGCCTATAGATTTCATCTTCGTAGACACGAAAGAAAATAAAGAGATCCTCTAATTTCTTTTTTTTTTCTTTTTTTTCTTTTTTTTTGATAGTTACTTCAGTGCAAAAAATTCGATACATTGCTTCATTATTTATCTATTTCTTCTTTTCGATTTAATGCTGGCATAAACTGTCGCAATTAATCAAAGCTATACTATATTGAAGTATCCTATAAAATCGATTTCTAATTTAGCATTACCAAACAGTCAATAACCAAAACAGTCAATAAAAATATCAAAGAATCGTTTGAAAGATAATAAACTCTTCAAAATACCTTCCCGCATTATTCTCTTATCTTTGTTCTACCTATTATCAATGGATACGCGACAGATGTTGAAATATAATATAGAATTATATGATATAATTATTACAAGCAAAATCTCGATTGAGGTAATTATTTTGTCGTTGAATGAGAACCCTCTCAAAAACGATCGATTCGATTCTCACGCAGAGGAATGAATTGAACGAAGACAATCGTCGGATCATCATTCGTTAACGAAACGTCCCCGCAAGCGTATCCGTATTTACCGATTATATGACTCGGTCAAGCCAGCTTCATTCAGACTTTTGCCTCGAAAAGCGCCAACACCGCGGCTATATATGTGGCACAGGCAGAGCCCGCGGCTATGGTGATTCCTCTTAAGCATTAACTTAACGTCGTGTTGATTCTCGGCCAGCGGCACGTGCACACGTCGCATAGCGGTCCCGGAGATACGCCGAGCATCAATGAAGTATCACTTTTTGCCGGGGACCGGATGAATTTTTTAACGGTTACATCAGTTTTTTAACGGTCGTCGAAACGTCGAACGTGGAACTCATCGTTCCATTCGAGTGCCTCCGAATTTCTCGAGATCTCTTCGATTCCTCGCGAAATTAGCATGTCTACTACGCGTGGGATCAACAAACGCGTTCTTTAACACGAGAACAGGAAAGTAGATTCAGAGATTCAAGAAAATTACGCTTGTACAGCGGGTGAGGCAGATTCAAGTGAAATTCTCGACAAAGAGGACGTGCTCTACGTGCTGATAAATATCAGGACGAATATGTGACGAGTCCTTTTCATAATAATAATATCTCTGAGAAAAATTGATTATCCGGAAAAATAAATCGTCGCATAAAAGAATTCCTATAATTATTACCAACAACGAGATTTATTATGATATATTCATAATATGTACACTTCAACTCGAATGGACAGGTTTGATCGAGGGTGTAATTACAATATCGACATGCAAACTATAATGCGGCTCTGAATATCGTATCGTGTCGGTGTATTCTATTTCTCCATGTGTATAATTCATTCAAAATGTCACAAAACATAAGATACAATGTACATACTACAGGTGCGTAAATAACTTCACCCATTTTACGCGGCGCGGCATAACGGTTACCGTATTAACGACCTGTCTGTCATTGTGAGGGGGAGAATATTCGCTCTAACCGCGAATAGTAATCTTCGTTGTTCAACTGAGAATTATTGCGCAGTGAAATTACAATGTCGATCGTCGTGGCGTGCAAATTTACTGTGAGATATAATGGACGTATCGCACGACACACGCAGACACGGGAATGCAGTAATCGACCTCTTGCGGAATTAGAAAATTGACAATGCGCTCACCAGATTGATTCATTCGATTTATTTGCGGGATAAATTTCTAACACCTTGATAGTATTAAACCTATCACCTTCTATCTGAATCATTTAGAGAAAAGGATAAATAAATCAATTAAAGACGTGAAAAAATTAATTAATTATTAAAAGTTAAAAGTTTTCTCTTCTTCTTTTTAAAGAAAGCTACGGACGTCAAAATACTTCGAAATGTTCTATAAGATTTACAAAGATATTTTTTATACTCAAGTTATATGTATATAGTAGTAATTATTGCTAATACATAAAAAAAGCGATTTAGTTTTATAATGAATTTTGGGAAAAGTAACTTCACTCACGGCCAATAGTAAGGGCAGCAATAAGAGAAAAGCCGTCTTCCGTATATTCCGCCACGTCTTCTCCATTATGTGCGTGTCTTCTCTGTAATGAAAAGAGAAAAAAATTGATACCTTCAATTTTTTATCACGAGTCCCCGTGTAATCTATCGATTTAAAAAGAATAAATTTTCAACAACTTTTTGTTATTGGTAGCAAATGAATTCACAGTGACATAGATGTTATTTCTTAAAGTAGACAAATTTAATAATATATACAATCTAGATAATATTAGTTATTAATTAAAAATGCAAATGATGCTTGATCAATATGATAATGATCAAAATATAATCTTTAATTTTATTGCCACACTAATTTACATATATATTTATCAATGGCTACGCAAAAAAGTGTTATACAATGAGAGAGACGAAGAGAAGCGTTTTCGAAATCTATGTAATTCGAAAAACAAATCTACATTCGTGCAATCTCGCGCAAAGTCAATATACATTCTAGATTTTACAATTTTTTAAAGGAAAATAACGTAATAATTATGTCATGCGTGACATAATTATAGGCATTATAATTATAGGTTTGCGTTGTAGGCACAATCCGCAATGATGAAAGGTAACAAATTTTACGAAAACATCAACAATCTCGATGTTCGTGTCGTTCATGTGTTCATTAAAATCCAAATTAACGTCCCGTGAGTACGTGCAGGAATTTGCAAGTGCAACAATACCGATTTAATCCGTCAGATTAAATTTCTCGCGAACGTACGAAAGCACACGCGATTACGACAACTCCCGTCGGAAGGCGGGACGCATTCGGGACCAGTTTTGCGGAAGAAGGACATTATAATCGATGCACCTCATTGCGTGTTCTTCCTATTCCAAGATGCCTCGTTCTACGGACGAAACACGCGATCACTTGAACAATCCCCCCGCGAAAACCCCTGTTTTTTTTTTCCCCCTAATGAACCCACGAATGCACCGACCGCAA